AAAAAAAAAAAAAACACCAGACTCTTATTTTAGAAAACGTTTACAAAATTTTCTAGTTAACCATCAGGCAAGCAAAGCACCGCACTCTGGTCAAGCCCTTTCAGTGACTGGGGTTCCTGTGCTGTCAGGCCACTTAGCCGCACTGTCCTGTACCATCTTCCCTCATGCCACGTGTGCCACTTACTAGCTGTGCAGCCTCAGTCCGTGCTGAGCAAGGGAGTGGGGAATGTACTCAGGCGCAGGAAGCAGTGAGAACAGAGCCCAGGGTGAAGGTGCGTGGTCATGGCAAGCACTATGGCAGCCTGGGGCAAGAGGGTACTCACCAACTGGGGCTCTGACTCCGCAGCTGGGCCCTCATTGTGTACCTCATCCTTGGGCTCCTTGACCACCTCCTCTTTGATGGCTTCTTCTTCCTTGGTGGCTTCCTCCTTGGCCGCCTCCTCCTTCTCAGGTTCAGGTGGGGACACGACCTTTTCAGGAAGGCTTAGCAGCATCTTATAAACCCTATAGCCAAAATCCCTCTGGAGCATCTCCAGAAACAGCTCAGCCAGCACCATCACCTGATGGGGAGGTGGCAGGGTCCATGAGCATCAGGAAGAAAGGCTGCTCCAGGCCTACATCCCAGCCCACTGCCTCCCCAAGACTCTGACACCTGCCTCAAAAGAGATCCTTTCTTTTGGCCTCCGATCCTCCACAATCCCATGGAGGGACAGGTTTACACAGCCAGGGCGTGCGATGACAGCAGGTTCTAGTGGCGGCGGAGGGGCCTCTGGAAGATCAGTGTCCGTTTCCTGCTGAGTGGTGGCCTCTGGAGTCTCTGCGTTCCGTCTAGAAGCATCTGGCACTTGCTCTGAGGCGTCAGGTGCCTGTTCAGTAGGTTCCGTTTCCTGTGACAATCGCCGAGATGAGACCCTCTGGGCCCCAGGATCAGGGCACCTACTTCCCCCGCTACTGGCTAAGGCATAGCCTTACCCCTGGTCCCTCTTGGGTTGAGGGAGCTGCCTCTGCAGCTTTCTGCTGGCACAGGGCCTCCCACTCCTCCAAAGTAGGCATGATGGTCCAGACATCCGGCAGGTACACCACCACTGTCTGCAGCCGCCGAGGGGGGCCTGGCTGCAGGTACTGAAACTCAGCAAAGCGCCACCTGCACACGGCAAAAGGAAA